TTTTCGTGTTTCATACGCTGTTGGGTCCATTCTTCCTCCTGTGAATATAGATGATGAGAGTAGCTTCCAATTTTATATGCAATTGAAGTGTATTGAGTGTGATTTTACGAAGCTTTCATTGTGCATCGAATTTGACACAAACAATACAAGTTCACAGGGTGTCATAATGTCACAGTTTAATGAGTTTGACACTATTATTGATGCATCTTCTTCCACTTTTCCTGTTCCTTCTGTTGGTACTTCCCAGAGTCTTCTTCTTACCCAATTCACACAGCCTCTGTCCTTATCAAGTGAAGATGTCTGTATTGCTGAAAGCATAGATTCTGTGTCAGTGGAATCCACACCTAATGTTGTTATTTCTCATTACCATCCAACAACTATTCGCATGGATTGCATATACAAGTCAAAGATGGACCTTCAGCATCATTTGCAAATGTTTTCCATTGTTAATAACTTCCAGTTCAGAACTGTAACTTCAACAAAGACATCCTATCATGTTGTGTGTGTTGATTCTAATTGTAAATGGGCCCTTCGTGCTGTACGTGTATGTGGTGCAAGTTTATTCCAAATTAGAAGGTATATTTGCATTTTGAAGTCTTATTTGACCCTCTCACTTGAATAGGTATATACACACGCACACACACATATATATCTGACATTTGGGCTCTTTTGTGTCTTAGGTTTGACTCAGAACATTCCTGTCCTGTTGACTTTCGTGAAGGCAATCATAGACAGGAAACATCTACCCTTCTAGCAGGCTTGGTTGCACATCGTTATGCAGATGCTTCGAAAAAGCCATACCAACCTATTGACCTTATGGATGACATGAGGAGGGAATATGGGATTACTATGTCTTATAAGAAGGCTTTGGTAGTTAAAAGAAAAGCGATGAGCAAACTCTATGGTTCAGATGATCAATCGTACCGCTTGTTGCCTGCGATGTGCTATATGCTTGAGAAAAATAACCCGGGGTCTGTTATATCTCTCACAACATGCGAAGATAGCAAATTTAAGAATATGTTCTTCTCGCTTTGTGCGTGGAGGCAAGCATGGATTCATTGCTTTCCAATTCTTATTATAGATGGGACTTTCATGAAGTCTTACTTTCGTGGAACACTGCTGACTGCATGCACACAAGATGCTAATCGACAGATTGTCCCTTTAGCATTTGGCATATGTGACGCTGAGAACAATGAGTCTTGGTTGTGGTTCTTAAGCAATGTGAAACATTCACTTATTGAACGCAGTGACATGTGCATCATCTCAGACCGTCATGATGGTATCTTGTTTGCAGTAGATAAGGTGTTTCCTTCCATTCCTCATTGCTATTGTACTGAACATATATTGCGCAATCTCAAAGGGAAATTTAAGGGCAAATCAGAATCAATTGAGTGGAAGTTCAGAGCTGCTTCTCGGGCTGCTACTGTTGAAGAGTGTGAGGAGTATCTTTCAATGTTGGATGAGGATGATCCACGTATACGGGTATACCT